GGATTCTCTTTTATGTGCTTCCTTTTTTTCTTCATCAAATAATTCGATAGGCTTGACTTCTGTTGGAATAACAGAATCTAAATCCTCCTCATGAGCTACTAAAGCAAAAATTAATTTAGTCTCCTGAACCTCCTCCATAAAATTAACCAATGAGAGTAAATTTGCACCCTCCCCTGGTTTAGGCTTAGGCGTAATTTCATTTTTTATGGGAGCTAACACAGTTGTATTATTATATTTACAAATAGTATATGTGTTCCTCCTCCCATCATGTATAGCTCTATAGGTATATTGCCATGGTCTACCCAATAATAGATGACAAGCATCAATTACAACCACATCACACCATACATCATCACAATGTTTCTTTCCAATAGAAAAAGAAACGTGGCATCTACTTTCTACTCATACCTCATTGCCCTTTTTGAACCAAGTAAGCTTGTATGGTTGGAGACGCTTCTCTGTGTCAAGCTTGAGCTTTTTAACCACACCTTGTGAGCATTCTCACAACTCCCATTATCAATAATAAGCTCACACACCTTTTCTCCGATGGTACAGGTGGTATGAAAAATATGGGTCTTCAACCAATCCTCCTGAGTTTTTTGTTTAGGCGTTAGAAGGCTCTTTTGAATAACTAAAAACTCTCTAACATCTCCATAGACAAGATCATCATCATCTGGCTCATCATCATAAACTGGATCACTGTCATACTCATCAACATCATCGAGGTTCTCATCCACAATCATAAGTTGCTTGCTTTTATCAAGACACCTGTTTCCTACAGTCTTCAGCCTTGTGACCCACCTCCTCGCACTTGAAACAACGGAGAGTTGAGCTGCTGCCCTGAACTTTAGCACTTTGACCAACAATATTTGGGTGATTAATAGGTGTTGCAACGACATATCTACAGCCCCATGATGGTGCAACTTCAGGCCTAGAACCATGATCTTGAAACTAGCATGTTCGGAGACCCGAATCTCCTCTCGTGGCTGCATTAGCCCTGCTCCAGGATCGTTGCTTCTCTACAATTAAAGCTCGTTGAAAGGCTTCCGATACAGTCCATAGAGAGTATAAACATAGGACATCCTGAATTGATTGGTGCAGTCCCGTAATATATCGAGCAACCTATTGCTCTTACATCTCAAACAAGTTGTTTCGTGCAAGTAATTGATAGAACTCTTCAGCATAATCATCAACGGACTCCCTCCTTGACGAAGGGCATAGGTCAAAACATTGTCTAGGTATAGTTAAAGTGCAAGAACTGTTCCTTTAACTTATTCTTCATCTTTTCTCAATTAGAGATTTTTAATTTTTTTTGTTTTTCCTGAGTCTTTTTCAATTGCTCCCACCATGCTGATGCATGACCTTTAAACTTAATGGCAACAAGCTTCACCTTCCGATCATTGGGCACCTCTTTGTATTCAAAGATGCCCTCGATAGAATCAATCCTATCACTAAATTCTTCCACTTGCAATCCTCCTGCAAACTCCAGTAGATCAACTTTAATACCCAGATCCCAAGATTTGTTATCTCGAACATGGTGCTCCCGACGCAAAGCGAGCGCATGAAATGGGTTCTCGAAAGCAGCTTCCAACTCACTACCATCATCAAAGTGTGTCGAGGCTGGATTTTGCATTAAGCGTTGGGTCAATTCTTCTACTTGCCTTCTCAAAATTTCGAAGTCTATCTCACTGAGGTCCTGCTCTCGCTAGATCAGCTCATTCCGGATACCTTGTTGTCAAGGACATCCACGAACCATGATGCCTTTTCAAGAGCACGCGATCGTACAAGAATCTAAGCTCTGATACCACCTGACACAGTATAAAATTTACCGATGAATACCACCAACAAAAATAACCGTGCTTAAGAGAGAAAAATAAAAATCATGAAGGAAATCACAAGAAAAAAGAATAAAACGTGTGGATACGAGTATTCCAACACAAACCAAACTCAAGAGAAAAAACAAAACCCACAAAAGGCCCATCTTTCTCCAAAGAAAACTTTCTTTATTTCATAAAATTCCCATCCCCCATTACATTGTACGTGCAACCCTTTTATAAGGATTCTTTTCCAAAACTTTCTAAGACGATACTGTCTTTCTATCTCTTCACGTAAAAATAAAAATGGTAGATAAAAAACCTTGTATCCCTCAACTAATAAAGAGATATGCATCTTTAAAGCTAATATCAGTAACTTCCTATTGTCCTTATCCAAAAGGAGGAACGGACATCACATATAACAAAAAGGTAACAATTTATTCATACTTTTGAAAAAAAGACTTAATTTCTTAAAAAATATGGAGTTTATCGACTAACCCACAAAATCTTATTTTTAATAATTAACCCTAACAAATAAAAATAAGAAGCCTACCCAATCTCTAAAAATAAAATTAAAATTTTGCACACCAAATCTTGATCTGCGTTTTGATCGACATCACTTCATAACCGCTTTCTTTTAGTGCCACATCTCTGCGTCATTGATATCACATAAAGGCATTGACCCACTAAAATTCCAGAGAACATCCCCCCCTGTGAGCTCTCAGGAACCCACCAAAAGGACACTACCATCAAAGTTCAGCATGAACTACCCAAAGGGTGGATTCGCCCAAAGCATCGAGCGAGGCCAGCTTTTCTTCCTAAAGAAATGCAGGTCCAAGAAGTGTGACAAGAAAAGCTCTTCCGGCAAGGATTTGAAAGGTTGGGAAGCACGAGCCCACAAGATGACCGAAGATTTGATTACAGAGATCAAAATGTCGTGAGTTCTAGATTTGACTTCGAAGGTCCTCAGGTTACGCTCTTTCCAAAGATTCCAAATCACCACGGCAAGAAGGATCTTCCATAAGATCAGACCAAGGCTGAGAACTTAGGGGACCAAATTTACATCAAAGTAATGTTAATACTTTGGTAGGCACCCAAATCAACAAGAGAGAAGTCAAACCCACGTCCAAAACTCTCATGCAAAGGGACAGTGTAACCCACGTCCAAAACTCTCATGCAAAGGGACAGTGTAGAAGAATATGGTCCAGAGATTCCTCGTCATTTTTACAAAAAAGGCAAATCGAAATAAGCACCATACCCCTCTTTTGAAGTTGATCGATAATCTGTAGTCGACGATGACCCACTAACCAGATAAAAGCTCGAACTCTGAGGGGGGCCCTACAAAACCAGTACCTATTGACAGCAAGGCTCTCTTCAATAACCCTGTCATGGCATAAGATGTCGTAAAGAGAGGCCACTGAAAATATCCTTTTTGGTTCTAACGTCCAAACAAGTCTATCTTCTCTCCTAAAACAGTAGTAGACATCATAAAGAAGAGCCAAAAAAACTGAAAAATCTTGCTCAACTTCAAAGTTGACCTTCTCACATCAAGGGTAACATTCCAAATACTTTTCCTTCAATACTTTTTTTATTTCTCATCTTGATGTTTTTTTTTTGGGTAATTTCACGTTTTGGATTTCCCTAAAGTTAAAGTGTAAACATGATCTATCCCTAAATAAATAAATAAAAAAGAAAGCATTCAGACCCAATCTCCTTATTATTTCGACGCTATTAGAAATGCTTTAGTTTTATGGGAAATTCAGTAAATATCCTTTTTTTTTGGTATTTAAAACATGTTATTTACTTTTTACATTTTACACCCATCTCTTTTTCCTTGCTTTTCTTTTACCACAATGAGTGCTGACCCAACCTAAACCTCCTTTGAAGAGAAAATTTTGGGTCCCCTAGACCCTACTTTCTAGGCATATGCCCTAATATTTTAAAAACTACACTACTAATCTCAATAATATTTATTTATACATTCATGCCCAAGTAAAAGGTAGTTTTTTTAGGACATGCACATCTTTAAAAACAAGCCGATCTGGCATAATATGTGCTAGACCTGATTTTGGTTCTTTATGCCAAATTGGCTTTAATCTGGTCTGACACACTGTATGCTAGACCGGCTTCATTGTTTTAAATGAAGTTGATCTAGCAAATTATGTGACAAACTAGTATCAATAGAGTTTAAAAGCCGGTCTTATACATGGTTCTTTATGCCAAATTGGCTTTAATCTGGTCTGACACACTGTATGCTAGACCGGCTTCATTGTTTTAAATGAAGTTGATCTAGCAAATTATGTGACAAACTGGTGTCAATAGAGTTTAAAAGCCGGTCTTATACATTATGCGTCCGATCGGCTTCATTGGAAAAAAATAAAGAAAAGGGAAAGTGAGACAAATGTGGTTTATAGGGGATATTTTTATCCTAAAAGAAACTACATTTTTACTTGGGAATGGTGCAAAAATAAATAACATTAACATTAGTGGTATGGTCTATTTACTTTTATTATTATTTTCTGGTTTGGGAGCAGGATATTTTAAAGGGCGAGGTTTATATAAACTTCCCCTAGAAGTAAAGTGCACCTCTAATCTTGCTGGATTTGGCGCTTCTCTCTTTTGTCCATTCTCTCTACCCATGCCACATCTTTTTGAACCTCCCAATGACGAGCATTTTCAGTGGTGTTCCACACTAATGCCCCAAATTTTTTGACAAACTCCCGGCTTCTCAAGCTTGCATCTTTGCAAATACCCAACTTCACCAAACTCTGATTTGCATTGCTGCCATAGTGATATTTGTTCTCTCAAAAAAAGAACGACTTAGGAGAATTCAGCCTGATTCTCTAAAGCTGGAAATCTGCTCAATAGGGATAACATATGCTCAATCCCTATGCCACGAGATTACATTAATCAGTTAAATGTATAAACTCTAGAAGTGAGGAGAGAGGAGAGCAGAGGCGAAAGACAGAAGGAAGAGGTACGGGAAAAATAGCTCTGAGCAAACACACAACGGGGAAGATAGTTAAGAAGGGAACCCATGCAGAAAGGGGCGTCTTAAGGCTTATTTAAAAGCTCACCTTCAACGAAGGAATACGATTTTTTTAAAAAAAAAAATTGTAAATCCTGAGAGAGGTTTTACATAATCATTTCCCAAAAAAAACAGATCAACCAAAAAAATAAAACTGAGAGGGCTAATAACCAAAACATCTGAAAAGATTCTAAGAACCTTCAGTCACGAACATCGCTTAAGAAAATATACGCGGCCACACCTCCAATACACGAGTGACCACCATACAATGTAAACTAAAAAAAAATAACCGAAGGTAGGCAGCTTCCTAAAACATATTCATGTACACTCTCTCTCTCTCTCTCTCAACAGAGACCGCGACCATTTTTACACTTTTCCAGCGACAATGAAAAAAATGAGAAAACCCTGCATCTCAGCAGGGAGCTGGAAAAGATGTTCACCAGCTTGTAAATAGCAGGCTTCCAAAAAAGAGGGGTATTTTTGTCTATCTATTTCTTGCTTTTAATATTGTTCTTAGGGGAATGGTCACCTCTGAGAGGGTTCAGAGGGTTGCTGATTAGTAAGGGAGGAATTAGAGGGAAGAGGTCCATTTTCTTGAGGGGAAGGGACTCCACCACCCCACTTGGGCTCAGACTCTGGGGGCTCAGCCACATATACAGAGCCGTCGCTCATGCCAAGGGCAATCTGGTGAGCTTCAGTTGGGTGAGCAGCGATTACTGATGGGTATATGCCACTGCCACTGCAATAAAAACCAGCAATTGGGGAAATGTCAATAGAGGGAAAAAATTGCATATCGACACCTCACAATCTTCCTCTCAACAATAAAGGGAGTCAAAGACAGTAAAAATCTCTCTCTCTCTCTCTCTCACAACACAAACAATCACTTCCCAAAAACGTTGACCAAAATTCAATTGAAGCATCTCTACAATTAATTAATTAAACTTCAGATTGATTTTTAAATTTTGATAGCAGTATAGTATTACCCATTCAAGAATTAATAATCTTTTAATACTTAAACCTTGTGAAAAGTATCAAATTGTTAATGTCCATTGGTGCGAGGATCAGTCCAATTGCGGCTAAACTTATCTAATCTCCTGCCATATCATATTCCTGCAGAGGTGGGTCTAAAAGTATGAGCATATGCACTGGATGGGCGCCAGTTTAGTACTATGTTGTTGGATGATTTGAGCAAGGAAAAAAGGAAGAATGATGGCCTAGGGTTAATAACTTAAAAGGGCCAATAGTCTTGCTAGGCAAAGTGCATTGGAATGTGTTCTCTGAGATGCACATATTAGAGAGAGAGCTTATTGCACAAAAATTGTGATTGCAATGAGGATGGTTCGGGTGTACCAAGTAGACTAGTCACATAGAATGTCTTGGTTTTGAAATAGTATTTGTACCTTGGTGTGGTGTACACTTAAGTCCCATAGGGGTATCACCGGCACAGAATAAAATGTAGGTTTTGGGTTTTGGATGCATACTGAGGGATCGATGAAAATGATCCCCAGACAGACGCATGAAACAGCTGAAGTATTGGACTTGATCCCATTGGTCAATTGGAAATAACTAGTGGATGACTACTTAATACACCAGAAAAGTGAGACAGTGAATCGCCCATCTCTGTACAAAGTGGGAAATCAGATGTGAACACTGTATTAATGGGGATTCTACTGGTTTGTGTCCAAGGTATTTGCATTGTATTTGCTAAAGATACAGAACCTTGTACTACTAGTAGAATTTGAAATTGATTAGGTTTATCATCCCTGCTAATTGATTTATTTGAGGCAACTGTACTGAATTTGTGGGAAACCATTATATTTATCTTTGCCTAACGTATAAAATAATACTCATTTGGAAATAGAAATTCTTCACAAGTTTATAAACCACAGATTCCTAAGGTACTTGATATCAGTCCAATAGAGATTCAATATAAACTGAAAACATACCTGGATATAGAAGAAGGAAGATAAGCAGAGGGGGCAATACGACATCGAAGCCTCAATGCTTCTGCATCAAAGACAGCAACCGCACCATCACAGAATCCAGCAAACACCATTGCACCATCGCCAGAGTAGACAGCGCAAGATATGGGGGCCGGTAATGAGTCTCGTGGGGCCCACTGTTCAATGCACCCAGTCAAATTTGTTGTAACAAGTTCTCTCTCTCTCTCTCTCTCTCTCTTCTCTACTCTCTCTCTCTCTCTCTCTCGTACTCTACTCGTACGTACGTACGTCGTACGTACGTACGTACGTACGTACGGTACGTACGGTAACG